GACCTCTCCCTTTTGAGGGCTAGCACATGCACTCTTTATTTTAAGGTGTGTACGTACGTATTTCTAGGTTGCTCCAAAGAATATTTGCTGCTGCTTGTTACCTCCAGCATCAGGCATCCTCCTGGCCATCAAACAAGCGTGTTGGTGCAACATAAAAGCTCCGGAACAGCCAAGTGTTTGGAAAGAGCCGGCGCCTCGAGCTGTACTCAGTGTCACAGCGCTGCAGCTGAGCCAGCCTCCGCCCAAACGATGCCAGCTTGCCCCCACACCACCTCTTCTTACCGACCATTTGCAGCACCTTTTCAGTCGCCATTGACAGACTCCAAATGTTGGCAGGGATGGTAGGAGGGAAGACTGATGAGGTGATAAGAGTGTTTAACAGTGCTCGGGTCCTGGGCAGCATGGATGGGCCAGAGGGAAGATAAATATTTACACTGCATCTTTAGAAGACCAGTGAATAAAAAGGGCTAGAATAATACAGCTTCTGAAGAAGCACCGGTGCTCAGGAGCTGTGAATATAAATCTCTGCAGCCTCCCGACACACACTCACTCAAGCCAGGGAGATGAAAAATAGCAAGAAAATACTTCCCTCCACTTTTAAAAAGGGTTTTATTTCTCATTTATTTCCACTTTAGACTTCAACTTCCCAACAATTTACTTTAACCTCACCATCTTCTTTTTCTCTCTCTGAAATTTTATCCCCAAGATGACTGAGGGTGAGACTGCAGCTGAAAACACAGCAGAATTTACATGCCAGTACCCACCGACATGTAAAACCAGGCAATTTGGGCTAACACAACCACCCCGAACTCCACCAGACAATTCGGTAGATGGCCCCACCGCGGCCTTTATTTTCATTTACACGCTGCTTTTGCACGCCGCAGCCTGGGTTTGGCCACGTACATTAATACATGTAAAGTGAACGCCTGTCCAGTGGCAGCAGAGACGAGTGGACCGCTGTGTATGCAGACGCCCGCATAGCCAAGCGATGGCTTAGTTTGAAATCTGATCCTGTTCTTTCCAAATCCCTACCTTAGACCAGTGCGCACCCACACGCACCTAGACTTCTGCTTTTCATTGCCTCCTGAGCCTCAAAGCAACACCAGAGGCAGCGCAATCTGAGAATCAAGACCGTCCTAACAGCTTTGTGCCAGAACATCCAGAATCCCAAACAGCTTCGACCCTAGGGAAATAAAGCAGACTTCTACATTTTCTCCCCATTTTTCAGCTAAAGGAAAATATGCTTGTGATGGCTCACCTCCACCCGCTGTTTTGGTCTGGGTGTCCCCTGTGAGGATAACGAGTTAGCTGGTGGTTGTGAAGCACTTGTGAGGTTACGGTTGTTAATGTTAAGCATAGGCTGTTGTGGGACATCATGCTGTGCATCCTTGGTACCAGCCTGAAGGCAGCTCAGGCACTCCCCGAGGACCAGCGCGCTGGGACAACGGATACAGAGCAACCTCTGGCAGAATCAAAACCAAAATCCAAGCACTGGGCATGAGCAGCTCTTATCTGGGGACTGCAAACAGTCCAAGCTAACTAGCACAGGGCTTGGCTACCCAGCAAGTTTGGTTCCCCAGTTAAATCTTCCAGCTCCCCTGCAGGTGGGTGGGTTTGGCAGGGAACCCTCTCTTACCGAGCTGTCCCTCTCCAAGAGCTCTCTCCTCTGCGCCCTTTCTTCCATTCAGGCCTTTCCTGTGCTGTGCTGGGCAGATATCCCTCAGGATGGAAGGTGCTAGACAGATCTTTATCCTCACCTCTCGGGCCCTTCTCCAGAGCCTACTGCCAGGCTACCATTTGGCCTATCTTCTAAGTGCCTCACAGATAAATTGGATCTGCATAGAGAAGCAATTATTACATTTCTAATGGCATGGACCCTTACAGCACAATCTGCTACTGAAAGGCAAAGAAAATTGCATTAGCTTTTGTTTGATTCGAAACGATGATCAAGGGAAGGGGGATGTCGAAGCCCTTTAAAGCCAAGCCTCCGAGCTGGGGATCCTTCTGTCCGGGGACCTCCCTATCCACATTCGCTGCCTGAGCTCGTACTCACGGTTCATTTAGGCGCACTAATTCGGAGAAGCCCTCCACTTGCGAAGCTGCTGTCAAAACCAGATCTCAGAAAGCTCGGAAAGAGCACGACGCCCGGGATCTGCCACGGGCTCCCTCCCGCAGCCTGCATCTGCTAATGCACCCGAACGCCACCGGCCCGAGGAGTTCAGCGTGCCAGGGTTACGCTAATCCCTCATCGCCCTAGTTTCTAACCGGTGGTGCACCTAAATTTCCGAGCACAATTCCAACGGGATTTATCACATCTACTCCCATCAGCATGCAGTGGCGCTGGCACAGATACAGACTCTCGATATCCCACCGCAGACATGACTGTCTTTAATTGCGGAACGAACCGATTTCTGAATCTCCACAGTGGCTCACGCAGCAACCCCGAAACTCTCCGGGCTGTTTTCCTATTTCCATTTTCACCCTAGTTTGCAGTCAGTACTCTGAGCACACCTGTGTATTTGTACACATGTATTTCTAGGTTGCTCCAAAGAATATTTGCTGCTGCTTGGTACCTTCAGCATCAGGTATCCTCCTGGCCATCAAAAAAACGCGTTGGTGCAACGTAAAAGCTCCGGATCAGCCATGGGTTTGGAAAGAGCCAGCGCCTCGAGCCGTAACAAGTGTCACAACACAGCCAGCCTCCGACCAAATGATGCAAACGCAATCCCCGGCCGCAAACGGGACGATATTCCGAAGGGCCAGGTGCTAAAATCTTGCTTCTCAGGGTGCTTCCCCGCCCCCTCCCCACGTAAAAGTTAGTAGCTCTTGTACTGCTTTATCACTTTAGCGTGGCTGAGGCAGATACCTGGTTATTTAAGAGGCAGGATAAATGGGCTGAGACAGCTTTCCCATCCCCAATTCACTAGGGAACGCTTGGAAATTCCACCTGACACCGGGACCGCGCTGTGCTCTTAAACAATCTCCCGTCTGATCCGATTGTTCCCCAGTGGGGAGGCAGGCTGCAGCTCGCTCAAGAGTCATTGATTGGATTAACAGCCTAATTCCCAACAGATGAATAGAATACTGATGTCTTGTCAGCCCACATCATAGAAGGAAAACACAATCTGCTTCTACAGCCCCGAAATTTAACCCTTTGCTTCCCCACTCCCCCTCCCAGGGGCACAGGGCTGAACGCACGGGTCCGGCACTTTCAGCTCAAGACTCTACCCATTTGAATGAGAAAAGATATATTAACCTTTGGGACGGTCTGCCTAATCATCTACATGCCACAGAATCATATGTTATTTTCTGTAGGGTTGGTCTTGTAAGCAGCCCTCTTTTCAGGCTTCTAGACAGAAGAGATTTATACCAGGGACCTTAATTTTGTATTTCTTCTCTATTTTACCACCTGCCGTTAGAGGAAATACTGTATGCTTCACAGTGAGCAGTTGAAAATTCGTTAGCTTAACAATATTTATTCTGAAATATAGAGATATCGAACGTTTTCCGAGTCTATCGTTTGATTCGGAGGACAGACCTGCCTGGAGAGGAGCATCCAGCCGCGCCGCAGGAGAGGCATCGCTGCAACGCCCTCTCCCTCCAGCAGCTCTTGGCAAGCCGCGGGGCAGGGGAGAGAAGCCGGGCACATCATTTGCTTTCCCAGAGCTCCCGTTCTCCACGTCCTAATGGAGACACTAATGTTTTCTTACCTCATCGAAAGACCGTGATAAGAAATTAATTGCTACTGGTCAAATGTTCACTACTACAGAAGCAGGACTGCGTGCATATTAAAGAGATTCTCCAAGAACAAAATTTATTTATGGACTCCTTGGCACTGTCTGCATTTATTTCCTTGCTCAGGAGACAAGAATAAATAAAAATCATTTGGTTTTATTTAAAATGATCTCAGATCACTGGGGTCCACAATGCTGAGGGTTTTGTTTCCTTCTAACAGCCACCTTTCACGCCTGCATTTACAAAACAGGTAGATTTAAATACATTTAAATACATTTAAATACTGTAATTTTTCCAGCAGCAATCCCAGAATATACAGAAATAGAGCTACAGCACTCACGCCAGGACTGTAACCCACACTGAGAGGTGGCCTTTGGAGCGCCTCTGATCCAACAGTCTCGGTGGCAACGGCTTACCAAGTCTTTAACTGTTCCTCCCACCTCTGCAAGGTGCGTATCACCTGAGACAAGCCATGTTGTTCTGTCAAACAGAAATAAGGTATTTCCAGTTTCATTTGGAATTTACAGCTCACGCAGAGTGGAAACATTCCCTCCATCACTCCTTAACTCTAAAAACGTCATTAGCCCAGCACTAACTAACATGACAAACAGGAGAGAAAGCATGAAAGGATGGAGGTGCACACCTTTTTTTTTTGAAATCCTTTTAACAGTACCTGCTAGCCACGACAGTTTTCCAGACTTGATGATTTCACAACATTAATATTTCTATAAAAAATTTGCTAGGAGGCTGAACGAAAGGAAGAGGCCTCCCCTCTCCTGGCTGCCAACGCCTCGCCGCTACAGAGAGCCCCGTCTTCGGAGAGACGCAGGGTGCTCTGTGCTCACAACACGGGCAGCGGGGAGGCAACAGCACGCGTTAACGACAGAGCCGCCTTACCCAGAACAATTAGCGAGAGATGCCGCATCGACTCAAACAGTTCAACGAATGCAGCGTTAGTGCTAGTATTTTAAAGTCCTTTGAATTATTAGCTCCTTTTACAATTTGAAACCATAATGTTTCGTTTTCATCCCAGATGTGAATTGTTCCAGAATGGCAATAAATGAGTCAAATGTCCCCTGTCCAGCCCAGCCCCTGTCCTGTAACATGGCTGCATTGTACAGTCACAAATTCAGGTTAAGGATGGGGACCGGGGCAGTTGTGCCCTGGAACAAGCAGACTGCAGGTTTTATAAATACATACAGAAATAATTAAAATCTAAGGGGTTTAGAAGGGTTAATCTCCTTTAAATAATCTCTGCCACAAAGCCTGTAAAGTCACTGCTGGCACCGTGCCCACGCGGGACCGGCTGTCGGATATCAGGGCAGCACGCGTGGACGGGAGCGGAGAGATTAAGCGGGCGCTGCTCCCCGGGTCACTGCCGAGGGGCTGGGAATGCCGCGAGCGGGATCGGATCCGGCGCTGACCCGCGAGGTAACACGCCGCTGCTCCGCCTGATTAAAGACAGAGAAGGAAGCTTGATTAGGCTGCTAAATTTAGCAGGCTGGACGGGAGACAGCAAGAGCCGAGAGCGTTGCTGCCAGCGCTCAGTTCACCCGAGCTCTTCCTGACTTCAAGGCTTATATTTATTTGAAGGGATTCAGGACTTTGGAAATCCCCTCTTTTCCTACGTAGGCTCGAACCCACAGCCGTGGGTGGCCAAGGAGATGTCGCGCTTTTAAGCGTCAGCTATCACGGATGCAGAGCAGCCACTCTGCGTTTCAGAACGCCCTCTTCGGACAGGGTGCCATTTTCAAGCCGACAACCGAGCGCGTGGCCATAAGCGATAAAGAAACCCAAAAGAAAACAGAGAACGTGGGCTCAAGCGGTGCCCTGTCTGAACCCAGGGTCTGATTTCCTCAGATTTAGGGCAAAAGGCAGAGTCAGCCGAGATGCCCCAGAGCCCTGCAGTGGCTGGGGGGGGGCCGGCAGGGAGGGTGCGGTATCGTGACGGCTGCAGGCACTGTCGCAACAGAAGCAGAGCCACGCCGCACACGGCAAGGTGCCGCAGGACCAGAGGCACTGCGAGCGGTCTAGGGATCTTGTTCTCAGTTTGAATTTGTTGAGTGTCTGCTTTGGTCTTGTAAGCCTTCCTTGGCTTGGTGTGAAAAATCAAAACTTTCCATGCTGAGACGGTCTGAACCATCCTTTGAACTCATTAAATGAGACCTGGATTTCATTAAGCCGAGCTTGGGGAAGGCTGGGGTAGCAAGGGAGCTCAGCTACAGTGGCCCACGGCCTCTGCTTGAAAGGCGCTGCTTTTTCTGTTTTTCTGCCTCTTTAGAAAAACCCAACACCAGGGACCTTGCTCCGACATCTCAACGCACCTCAGGAGAGTGCTGTGCAGCCTCCAGCCAGCCTTTCCCTCCTGAGCACACCCGTTTCTTAAGGATGACGATTCCTTTTTGTGGCTAATCTGGAATGGGAGAGGACGCTCGCATGCTCGCAGCTGTCTGCCAAAGGGGGGAAGGCATCAGAGCCTGGATCCTGCCCTGCAGTGGACCACTGCCAGGGAGCAGCCGACTGCATGTGCTGACTCCAGAAGCTCCCGTCTCATCACCTCAAAGGGCTGCTCTTTTTGTGGCATCCAACAGCCTTTTAGCAGCCTCCGTGAATTGTATTAGCAGCTGATTTACCATTTTTTATTTCAGAAGGCACGGAGCTGCTCTTTCATTTGATCATCCACCACCAAGCACAACTACACAGCAGACTCTGAAAACTCCCCACTCCGTCTGTGATTGTTGGGACTGTTTCCTGACGGAAGAAAGGAGAAATAAATAGAGAGGGAAAAGGTCTATTGGCACTGCTTAATCACAGACAGTCAGGTTTCCCAACAGCTATTAATAAAGTGTCAGTACTAAAGAAAAAGAAGGAAAAATGTCTGGAGAAAACGGCCTCAGGACATCAAACTATATCAGTAACTGGGATTTCTCGACAGAGCCACAGTGCTATTAAAATAAAGCTGAACTAAGTACTTGCAGTTTGGTCTGTCATTACTTATTTAGTGAAATGCAAAATTGATCTTCACTTTCAAGGGCTCTTTCAAAGTCTAGAGGCAGTACTTGCTCCCTCCTTGTGCTGTATAATAGAGGTGCTCCTAATGAAATTCAGCAGGGGCTGGAGGCAATCGGGCAAAACCGCGGCCAACTTTACAACAGACAGATTTATGTTCAGGGGTGTCCTGCTTTCTGAATGAGTGATTCTGCACCGGGCAGGAATAACAGGTTCGCCATTCACAGGCTGTACAAGCGTGGCAGTAGGTCAAGTTCCCCGCTGGGGCTCGGTCCGAGCCAAAGGCTGGGGCTGCTGTCACGTGTGGGGCTGAGCCGAGCGGGTCCATCCCATTTCCTACCAAAGCAGCCCAGGGAGCCCACTGGGACCGGGACATCTGTCCCCAGAGCCCCGAACTGGGAGCAGCCCATTCCGCGCCGGGCGGACGGCTGGGGAGGAGCAGATGGCAGGTACTGCTGGTGACAACCGACGTGGGGCAGAGCTGAACCAGTGACCTCGAGGTGAAAGGCTTCGCATCTCCCATTATCAATCCCCAGAGCCCCCTCCGAAGTAAGTGTTGATACATTAATCTTTCTGACTGATGGAAACAAACTGCAAATATAATGTTCCACGGGGGAACCTTTTTTTATTTTGAGCCAAAACGATGCTTAAAACCATAAAGTTAAGGGCGTGCTTAGGTTTCGTTCTTTCATCAGAAACGCTACTATTTAATGCCATCCTTTTTCTCTTCCAAGTACCAAATTTAAAGAGCACGTCATCACGCATTAGTCTCTGAGCACAGCCCCAGTATGGATTGCTACAGTAAATAACAAACCCATGCTTGTGCTTCCTCCCATGCATGCTGCCCTCCTAAATAGTTTAATCACAAAGGAGTGTATTTAGGAGCCCTGCCGGAGCGCCTCGATGAAACATGTTGTGTAGGATAAATACCTCCACATCAGGACACTTCTCAAAGCCATCAGGCAGAGGGGTCAGTCTGTTGTGGGTTTTTTTAAAACTGCACAAGCTAATGCTTTAAGAGTGTCTTGATGGAATCAGGGAAATTGGATTGTCCCCCCATTTGCTGGCCTAAAACAAGCCTTTTTTTATTTATCCCATTAGAGGAACACAAGAGAAACCTTTTAAATGTCACTAAAATTTTCCCTGCATTGCAAAACCCAGTCAAAAGGGTTTTAATTTTCCCCGAGATCTCTTAAGTAATGCAGTATGTCAAGGTTTAATACATTGCGTGCAGGGGATTGTCTCTATTCCGCGCTGTTTCACGGGGGTGACTTGGTAGGGTCGGTCCTGTTTGCTGGATTCGGTCCCTGCCAGTGCCAAGCCGCTCACCTAGCCTGTGCCGCTTTAGCTCAGCCCTGAGGAAACAAATAAGGAGATGAGTTGTGCCTTCCCCCGGATCGGTCCGGGATTCCCAAATATTCAGCAGTGCCGGTCACTCTCAGTAATGTTGGTCTGTGAGTTGGGGCACTCTGGTTTTGTGAGAGCCTGTAATTTATGGGCTTTATTTACTTATTTACAGGAGGACTAGAGAGACTTGGCAAGAGGCACTTCTACACCAGGCTCCAGATTCCCCTGGAGTATTTAATACGACAGACATCAGCCGCATAGCAGAGGCGCAGCCCCGGACTGAGACCCGGCAGCACACAGAGCACCGAAGCACAGCGGCTAAAGCCCGCAGCAGGGCCGCAGGCTCCTCCGAGGCTGCCTGCTCAGCCCTTGCTGTCCCAACGGCTGCGGGCACTAATGCTGAAACAGCTTCTCCTGGCCCCTCCGAGCCCAGCCCGCTTACCAGCCAGCCTGTAAACTGGGAGCTACTGGTGATCTGTCTCCCAGAGTAATCCCAGCTAGTTTGCTACTAAAATACACCGTTATTTTGCTCCTGCAGTATACGGGAGTTCTCTATGCACGCTGTCCTTGTTTCTTCTCCCAAACAGCGAGCACCTCGTCATACCACAGCAGAAGAGGACCTGGGGTGCCAAGTCATTCTGGGCTGACTGCGTAACCCTCCCCGGCCCTGGTTTGGCAAGCGGAGGAGGCACTGGAGGGCAAGGAACGTCCACGCTGGGGGACGCGAGCCCTCAGCCTCTCGTCTCCAAATCCGCACACGCACACCGAGAGCCGGGAAAGGAGCAGAGACGGGGAGAGCGAGGAGGAAGACGCAAACCTCAGGCTCTCAACTAGTCACGATAAAACACAGCCCGCAGACTAAGACACTGCCTCCTGCTCTTCCCTGTAGGGCTGCATAATCTATTTTACAAAACGTCAAAATTCAGCATGAAAACTGGAAATAAAAGGCAAGAGGGAAGGAAAAAAAAACCAGACTGGCTGGTTATTGGACCAAGGGCTGTGTTAAAAGGATCAGGAGGTGGTGGGCCGAGTGGTGGGGGAGGGAAGGGGATAAAGTAGTGGGTCTAATCAAATCAGTTTAAAAAGCTGCAGCCTCTCCGAGTTAACCTTGCCAATCAGAGAGTGAGCAGGAGCATGTCTGCGCACATTAAAGCGGGAGCGTGTCCTTGAACCTGCGGCGTACTCCATCCTCCCCCCCGGCCGCCCACGCGGGCTGCGTACCCAGCACCCTCGGCACGCAGCGGGAGAAAAGCCCAGGATTAGGCTCCCGCCTTCGCCTCGCTCAAGTCGGCGCCGGCACCAGCTCGGATGCTGCCCCGCGATTAGAGGTGAGCTGGTGGGATTAAGCGGGCAAGAGTTGGAGAAATGTTAAAAAACAAACAGACAAACAAAGGAAACAACCGGAGAAACCCTCCCACAGCCAAAGACCGGTCTGGCAGCTGCCAGCTGCATTCCTAACCTTTGCTAACGACCACGGGTGCTGAAGTCACTCTGAAATAAACATTCACTCGGAATTACATGGGTAATCTAAAGGGATTATCCCGCTGCCTTAACAGGCCCATAAACTAAATGTTAAATGGTCTACACAAGTGTTTGCATTAATTTTGACCCAAATCAACCTTTCCGCTAAAAGCCGCGGAAAGCCAGATTCAATTTTGGAAACTGCACGTCTGTTCCGAGTTTGCGTCCTTACAAATTCCCCCGGATCCTCCGTTTTCTGAAGGAAAAACGGGCCTGAGCCCTTGGCAGCCTGGAGCCTGCCAGCAGCCAGGGAAAGGCTTTAGCAGAAACGCCCGTTTGGAACACGAAGGTTGAGAACCGTAAGCCGCACGCCAAAGCCCCGCCCTGCCACATCATCCAGTCCCTGGGGCAAAGGGGTCCACGTTCAGAGTCTTGGCTCTGGCCCTTCTTCCCTACAGCAACAGGTGAAGCACAGCACGGGGAGTAGGGGCTCTGCCACAGACAGTGGCCAAACCCCAACCGTTCCGTGCCTCAGTTTCCCCACCTGTAAAAGGCTGGGGGGGGAAAAACCCCAGCGTGTCCGGGGCCCCTCAGTCCAACGGAAAAGGTGCATCTCCAGCCCGGGATCGGACGCGCTGGACACCTGCCCGCCATGCAAATCTACGTCGTCTTTTTTAACCTGGACCCCTTTGCGTGTACACCCGAGTTGGCCAGCATGCACGCTTCTGAAGACAGCTGTTTTCACAAGGCACGCTGAATTAACTGTTCAGAACACGACAGCACGAGGCAGAGACATAAACTCCTTTTAAATCCCGCTGCTCCTGCACAATCACCAGCAGTAAGCTAGAGGTCTCTTGGAGCGAGTTAGGAAGGCGAGGGACATGATCCGGCTGCTTGAAGCACAGAAATAGGCTGTAGCAATGGATCTGAAGGAACCCAGTCCCTGGAGCCCGTCGAGGTCTGCTGTACCGCTCTGGGAAAAGAAGAGTCAAGCACAATGGGAAGCTGGCAGAGAAAACACAGTCCGGGGAAAGCTCAATATTTAAAAAGCTCGCTTTTACTGACAGCGGGAAGAAAACCGTTTGTAACCTTTATGTTTTTTAAAGACTTCTTCACGATGTTCAGAATTTCCTGCCTTTTTTTTTTTTAAGATTAGAAAAATCCAGGAAAATCTAACCTGGTAAAACCTAATTTCACAGGAGATCTTCTCTGAAAGCCTTGGCACAGGAGTGGAAGTGCCATCTATCACCTGCCGAAGGCAGCGTGGGAGGAGTGCTCTAACATGAGCATTTTAAACTCAAATGCCAGGCAAACACTAACAGCAAGTAAAGCCACAGTTTTACACACTCTTAAATGAAAAATCATTCTGCTAAATGAGATTTCTTCCCTCCGAAATACATACTTTTATGAACTCCTAAATATAGGCTAGAAAAAATTAACAGATAAAAACTAGGACTTCTGCTTTAAAGACTATGAATTCTCCCCCTTCCTTTTAAACCAACAGTTTCAAAGTTTTCTTCATATCTCGAACAAGAATGATAAAGGGGAATAGATCAACACCCTCCTCCCTGATTTCCATCTGCTAACAGCGACCTAAAACCATCTCTTGCAGCTGAAGGAGCCCTGAACAAACCTGAGAACATCAGTCTTCACCACGCCAGCTCTAAACCAAAATACTAATTGCTTTAAAAAAGACACAGTTGCTATTTGCACTCCCTACCCCAACTGGGAAGGGCTGGGATAAGAGAGCTTTTAAAGAGAAGCCACAGAGCCTGGCAGGGCAAACCCTTATCCACAGGAGTGTCCCTGCAGGTGTAGGACAACTCACCCATGGACACCAGCCCCACGGGGTGGGCTGGCAACACCCGCCCTTGCTCAACTGGTGGATAATTACAGAATCACAGAACATTTGGGGTTGGAAGGGACCTCTGTGGGTCACCCAGACCAACCCCCTGCAGAAGCAGGGTCACCTACAGCAGGCTGCACAGGACCACGTCCAGGCGGGGCTTGAAGATCTGCAGAGAAGGAGACTCCACAACCTCCCTGGGCAGCCTGGGCCAGGGCTCCATCACCCTCAGAGGGAAGAAGTTCTTCCTCATGTTCCCCATCCCCTCCTCTTAGGAAATGTGCTCCAGTCCCCTCACCATCCTCGTAGCCCTCCACTGGACTCTCTCCAGTAGCTCCTTATCTTTCTTGAACTGGGGAGCCCAGAACTGGACACAGCACTGTAGATGGGGCCTCACTAGGGCAGAGTAGAGGGGAAGGAGAACCTCCCTCGACCTGCTGGCCACACTCTTCCCAATGCACCCCAGGATCCCACTGGCCTTCTTGGCAACCAGGGCACACTGCTGGCTCATGGTCAACCTGTTGTCCACCAGCACTCCCAGGTTCCTCTCCGCAGAGCTGCTCTCCAGCAGGTCAGCCCCAAGCCTGTACTGGTGCATGGGGTTGTTCCTCCCCAGGTGCAGGACACTGCACTTGCCCTTGTTGAATTTCATCAGGTTCCTCTGCCCAACTCTCCAGCCTGTCCAGGTCTCGCTGAATGGCAGCACAGCCTGCCAGTGTATCCACCACTCCTCCCAGTTTTGTGTCATCAGCAAATTCACACCAGCAAATGTATCTGAACTTGTCAATGAGACCCAAAACCTTCAACAGAGCTTCAGAGCATGAGGTTCACTGCAGGATTTAAACTGGCAGAAATCACATTCCTGTGCCCATTAACAGGGAGCACCTGTGAGACTTGCTAGTATCAGCTGCTTCGTGCTGCAGCTACCAAGGATTTGAGTGGAGAGGGAGACCTCTCAGCAGAGCCAGCAAGTTCTGCTGCAGCCCTCCTGCAAGCAACATGAAGACTGCTAGCTCTGTTAAACATGGATATTCAAATACCAGCTGCTTCCAGAAAAGCTCCTCCAGAAAACCATCAATCCATCCAGGATAACTCACCCTACCGCACCTCCTGGATGTGTCACAAAGCTTCCCAGCACCGAAAGCAGAATGGAAATCATGGCTCAAGAACTGCAGTTTGTACCAAATTCAGCAGCCCTGCAAACCTAAATGTATCTACCAAGAGCACGCAAAGTTTACGTGAGGAAAGCCCTTCTGCAGGCTGCATCGGTGTCTGATGCCCAATGAAGTCTGAATTTGGGTATGAAAATGCACTGATTATTGTATTTCTCTGGGCTGATACAGGCAGCAAGGTAAGGAAAAACTGTGCGACATCTGGGGGCAAAGTGGTTTTCGTTTTGGGTTTTTTTTTTCCAGAATACCCAGTTGTGGGATATGCTTCCTAAGGAGAACAAGTGAATGTAGACTTTTTGACCATCCTTCCCCCTCAGGTAACCTCTTCTGCTGTAAGCAGGACTTCTAGTTCAGACACTCCTTTTGCTGTTCTAGTGCTTGTTCTGCAAAACTTACCCGACATCTCTGCGACCCTGAGCAGGGAGAAGTCCCCAGGTCCCTGTGATTTTATGCAGTTGCAGCTGTCATTGGAGCAACTGTGCCACGGCATAAAATTCCAAGATAGATGGCTTCACTTGGTGGCTTTTCACACCTTGAGTGCTCAGGAGACAATACCCTTCTCCGAGAAGAGGCACAGTACTACCGAGCGATGGTACATATTAATTTCTAAAAGAGGATTTTAATCATGCAACGTCCTCTGCAGTCGCACAGAATTTAATCTCATTGCTGACAGTGGGTGATGGGGGAGCATGTTAAGTGGAAAAGTTGTATTCAAGACCTTCTTGCAGATATGTGCTACAGGCAGCCCCTTGGGAGGAAGAAAAATGACCCAAACCGGTCTCTCTCGCTGCTAAGCGTCCCGGCCCAGGGCCCCGACGTACCCCAGCCACTCGTGCAGCAGAAATGCAGGCGTGTTCCCAAAGTTCTGTGCAGGGTTCAAGCACGCTTATTAATACAGTTAGCATTTATCAAGGCTTACTTTACAAATACTGATTTACTAATCCAGGCAAGACCCAGGGATATATGCACACAGGACTCGCATGTTAGTTACAGAAACCGAGGCACGCAAAAAACCCCCCTTCACTGTCTGACTTACTCAAGGTCAAACGAGGAGCACAGCCAGGATCAGTCGCAGGATACTGCGCTCCCAGAGCTACGCTGTGACTATCGGGACATGCCGTCCTTTTCCACGCCAGGGCTTCCCTCTTCTCATAAGGTCTGTCTTCACCTAAGCCTACCTTTAGTCTTGCCTTCGTTCAGTAATCTGGGAAGAAAACATAATGAAAACCTGAAAGTTGAAAACCCTCAGCCATGAGCCGAGTCTCTCCCAGCTGCCCAGGAGACCCACCACAACCGGGCTGGTACGCTGGCACAGGCCTTCTGGCTGGGTATCACCAGTCTTGTCCTGCTCTTACCAAGGCAGCTTTACAAGTTTTGGTCAGTTAAACAATTCAGTGTTACAGGGAAAAATCCCGAAGGAATTCATATCATTTGTTCCACTAGTTTTAATGGGACCTGCAAGCTTATAGGTAAAGTTGGAATCATGAATGAATTCTTTTTCAGAAGCTCCTATGGAAAATAATTAATCGCTGCCTAGGAGGGATAAAATTAAAATTTTTTTTTTTCCTGCTAAAATAAAAAATGCTTTCCTAATATATCTGAAGTTAGGGCAACCTAAGTGATGGCCCAACAGAATACAGTTCCATAAAAACACCTCACTTCAATGAAAAATGATGCATGCTTTCAAGCAGCACACGTCTGATGCCCACTCTCTACAGAAAGTGAACCCCCTGAGCAGGTAAGTCACTCTGTAAACTCCTGTAACCATTCTCTTGAGGTATTAGACCAGCTTTGGACTACTAACAGATAGAAATGAAGTATGAGACAACAGAGCTACTAGTTTTAAAATCCTGAGGAACTGGAAAGAACGATCATATGCTTTCGTCCACGATAGCCATGTCTGCAGCCTGGGAGCACTGCAAAAATTTAAAAGTATCCGAGTGATAACTACACTCCATGCTGGATGGAAGAGCTTTCAGCAGAAATGAAATCCAAAGCATACTGCAGAACCCTGCAGGGAAATCGCGGCAACGCCTTACGCACGCTTTGTACTTTGCCGCTGAGCGCACGGTGTGTTCGCTCCCCTCTCCGTTTGCCCGGAACGGGGGCAGTGGGCTGCTCAGGCAGACGAAGTCAAGCCCAAAGTCTCAGGGCTGACAACAGACAGCATGACAAAAGAGGATAAAACTTTATCAGTTGCCGAATGCTTAATGACAGAATTAAAACCTGTATTTGATCCTCACCTTTCTCCAGTTGCTCCTTCATTTTGCTGCTAAAAGCCTTAATTTTTGTTAACAAAACTTGGGCAGGAAAGTTGACTACCAGAATGTGCCAGATATCTCCATTAAGAAGTCCGTTATTCATAAACACAAAGAAAATTCTATTTATTTGTCTTCTTCCAAAATCAAACTTATCATATTTATGGTGAGATTTTAATTTATTTTTAAGAAGTGTTTGAAAATTTCCTTGTAAGAATTTCATTTAAAAATTCATAAAGCACATTCAGATGTACTTAGGACACAAGTGAAAACAAAATGACTAATGGTCCAGCAGAGAAGAAACGTTTCATCTGCTGCTTTCTAGCCCGATTCAAATGTAAAAATTAAGAATGTGAATTAACTAGGTTAAAGTACATAATTAAGCAAAGACAGACATTATGTATCTGATTAGCGACAAGAAGAACAAACTATATTTAGCTATATTTAGCTGCAAATGAACATATTTTAAAGGCTGCTAACCAATGAAAATCAACGTTTCCTTCGAAAAATAGCCAAGAACTAGATTTAAATTGATTATCAAATCCATTCAACCTGTCAGAATCGCTCTCATTAGAGTCAGCGTTAGAGGCAAAGCTGCTGCCCGCATGCTACGCCCACGCAGGCGCAGCACCAACCGGCGTGCTGCCAAGGGTCAGCGACAGCGTGGCACCTTGGCAGCACGTCCACCCCAAATCAC